GTTAAGGCCATCCCATTTGTGGTATAATTCTTGTCAGAGCGGCACTAGGTAACCAGAACAATATGCATTGACAAAAAACGCAATCCTTGAAGAATTTTTAAAAATCTTTCAAAGCTTTTAATTTTTTGTTGAAGAGGATGACCATCTTCCTTACTCAAATGTTTATTGCAAAACACTTTCATTTCTAGATTTATAAATACTGATTAGAATAATCAATCAAATAAATACTTTCATTTCTACATCATTTACCTTTTATCACCTACCTCTAGCATCTGTCTACCTGTGAACTGTATCAAGAAAATTTTAGAACACAAACAACATAGAAGATGAAAGAACAGTTACATGCCCTCTTCAAAAAAACAGGATGCTCTAGATTCTAATCACAATATATTGCAAGATGAGGGCTTCCAATAGGATGATTAAATAGATAAGAACACTTAATTACATTTTACCCTTAGAAACGTAACATGCATGTGTTGATACGTGAGCTTGAAAAAATTCGTGTAGAATATGGTTATCTGAAAACCTGAGATTTTTTTTGAGGTATTCATTTGTTTATGTATTCATTAGGGGAGATTCTGTAGGTTTCGAGTCAGGTTGGCTGTAATCTTTATGGAAGCTGCTCACCAGGTCTGGCCCTTCTGTGGTGTTGGCTGGAGGGTTCCAACAGGAAACCTTTGGGTTACTAGCCAAGTGTAGACTGTGCCACCCAGGGACCTTTGAGATTTTGTTTATATGAGAAATTTCACCATTAGATGAGCACCTCCTGCTTTCTCTTTCTACTTCTTTTATACCTTCTTGAAAGATGATGCAATAGTTTGGATAATACAGTAAGAAAACTGAAAGATGATGTAATAGTGATTTTTTTCTCACTTTTACATCATCACTCTTCAGTATTCTAGTTTTTTACTTTTACAGCATAGTTGGAATGACTGATAAACATGACAAAAATAATTCCAAGGATGATGAAATAACAAAATATTTCAAGATATGGGAAAAATGAGATCTCTAAACATTCTTAAGTATATTTTAGATTTACAAAAGAGCTCAATGGTGTCATACGTAAATGTAAGCCAGAATGAGCTTTATTCTGTTTTCAAAAAGCAAATGTTTTCTTTGTAACACTCTAAGAAACCCAGAAATGTAAGTTACAATTTCATATTCATTATATTGGCTTGTGGTTTTCTTAAAAGCAAATAGAATCATACTGTAACATTTTCTGTACCTATTTTCTCTGAGTTTTTTTACTCAACCCTAAGTATACATGAAAATCAGATTTCACCATTTACTATCTGGGCCCTAATGATATGGCATACCACACCATCATTCCCTGCCAGATCTTCATCATTCTTCTAAGCTGCGGAAAAGTTGATTTACTTCTTACGCTAGACATTTACACCGTATACAAATTTTCAAACAATGCTGCAATGAACAACTGCATATATGTTCCATGATGTTGTTATGTGCTGTCGAGTCAGACCTGACTTATAGCGACCACTCCTTGGGTTTCTGAGGTGGTATCTCTACGGAAGTAGATTGCTCAACCTTCCTTCCGAGGAGTGGCTGGTGGATTTGAACCGCCAGCCTTCTGGTTAGCAGTTAAGTGCCTTAGCCACTATGCTACCAGAGCTACTTATGTTCCATGTGCATATGACCAATGTTTCTCTAGAATAAATTTCTGGAGTAAAATTTTTAAGTCACAAGGTCATAGAGTATATAGCTCTTTTATATTAATAAATAAGAGTGTCTGTGCAAATCTGCATTCCCATTAGCAGGATATTATAGTTGATTTTTTTTTTCATATTCTCATTTATAGTTTTAAAAGCAAAGATGTCATTTTGATTACTACGGTGTACCCAAACCAAGACATGTTCTTTCCAATCCCCTTATATAAATGTGAAAGCTAAAAAGCCAAAATGGAAAAAGAATTGATTCCTTCAAACTTTGGTTTTAACGAAGAAAAATAAATATACTACAGATTGTCAAAAGAACAAATAAATCAGTCTTATTAGCATAGTGCCTAAGGCACTTAACTACTAACCAGAAGGCTAGAGGTTCAAACCCACCAGCCACTCCTCGGAAGGAAGGTTGGGCAATCTACTTCCGTAGTGATGCTGCCTTGGAAACCCAAGGTGGGGTACCTATGAGTCGGGTCCAACTCGATGGAACATAACAACAACAACAACATAAGAAAAACAACCAGAATGCTCCTAGAAGTGAGGATAACAAGACTTTGGCTCACTTTGAACATATCATCAGGAAAGACCAACTACTAGGAAAGGACATCATGATGCGTAAAGTAGAAGGTCAGTGAAAAATGAGGGACCCGTCAATGAAATGGACTGACACAAACAGCCACAACAATGGACTCAAACAGCCACAACAATGGACTCAAACATGCCAAAGAGCAGGCAGACAGCAAAGGGCTGGGCGACGTTTTGCTCTGTTATACATAAGGTGGCCGTGAGTCAGAATCAACTCAATAGCAAATCACAACAACGACATGAATAGTTTGTATTATCAAACTTTCAAATTTTTGACAATCTGGTGGGTAAACAGTGATATATCATTGTCTTAATTTACATTCACTGATTACTAAGGTTGAACAACTTCTCAGCAGTTGCTTGGCATTTGTTGGTCTTTTCTGTCATAGTATCAGTGACCTCTGTCCTCCGTTGCAGACCTTCCCCATACAAACACTTTTCTGAACTCACAACACCAAAAAAATACTACTTCCTCAAGACTTATTCTTTCTCAATATATCTGGCTAAGAAAACTCCAAAAACATAACTCACAGTTTTCAAAGCTAGTGACTGAAGTATTTTCTGACTAAACAATCTGAAATCATCCTTTGGAGACAGATATTTAAGATTACCAAAAAGGAAAGTTTTTGAATTTTAGTGTATTAATTCTAAAGACATGATTTTTAGTTAGGCAGGTTATGAATGTACTGTGAAAGGAGAAAAAAAATAAAAGCATCTGTAACTGATATCAAATTTAAAATAAAATCCTAGGTGTTCTGCCAAGTGAAATCAACTTGTCATATTTGTGACATTGCTATGACTTCCCAGGAAGGTTTTCACTTTACAACAAAATTCTGAGTGATCTGTTCTGCTCTAAAATCTATACTGACTTACTCTGTTGCTATCAAAATTATGTAATGACAAAACACTTCCTGGTGAAGTAAGAGGCTAATGATAACTCACAGAACTGGGATGAGATCCTGGGATTAAGATACTTCTAACATGAAAGGTATGAAAATTATGTGAATGATATCTTCTGGAAATGAAGAAGACAGAACTGAGGAAATGTGGATGTTGCCTGGAAAGAATGAAACATGCGAATATCAACAAATTTATATACTTTGTATTTTAAAAAAATTGCATCTTTCTTCTTTGATTGTCCCACAGGACCAGACCATAACTGTATTAGTAAAACAGTATAATATCTGGAATACAAGCCCGATAGAATGATATAGAATAGGAACTTTTAACTAAAGGTTTAGACTACAGTGAATAAGCAGCTTTAACAGCATTTAGAAAGAAAGATGTATGAAGCCAAATAATCAATCTAACTAACTGTAAGAGCTCAAATGCACTGAAGTCTTTAAATGATCTGGAAATCTAAGAAAAAAATTTGTAAATTTCAGATATTTAAATACTGGCTTAAAATACATTTTAGATAGCTATTTCCTATTTCATGCCTATTTACACACTATCTTATTTTTGCAAAGGAAAAATACATATTGATTATACTACTAAAAGGCTAAGTCATGATTTTTCACTTAAACTATTTTCAGATGAAATTTCTCATTATAAAATATATGGCATCGATTTAGAAAGCTTTTAGAATGTAAAATAATTCCTAAAGTTGTCTATCAACAGATATAAAAACAAGTGGGCAATATAGCTGCTATTATTATTACCACTGTTTTTGAGGGAAACGAATCTGTCAACATATTAATCAGGACTACAAAATAAATTGTTAAGCTCATAATGGTAACTTAGACAAACCGAAAAGTTGGACAAAGTATAGGAAACAGCTGCTTGAAGGCATGTGATAACTAACAAGACAGCAAGGAATTACCTACCAGGCTATGTCAGATAGGGAAGGACCAATTTTCCCCTGGAGGTGTTTGCTGATTTCTGAGGGAACAGCTAAAGCTGAGTACTTCTGACAGAAGGGTTGTACACCAGGCAAGAGCGCTACTGGGGTAAGAACTATCACTTACCTTTGAATCATCTCAACCTCTGAAACTGGATTAAAGTGATGCCAGATTATAGTGTCCTGAGATGCCTGGCAGAAGCCAATGTAACTATTTTAGAAGGAACTTAATATCAATTTATTTCTACAAGTGATTTTGCAAGTAAAATGCCCAGAAGACAATTAAAAAAAAAATAACAGGCATTCAAGGAGTAGTACTATATGAATGAAAATGAGCAGAAACAACAGACAACAGAAACAGCCTCACAGGGACTCCATATATTTGAATTGTCAGGCATAGACTTTAAAATAACTATCATTACTACATTCAAAGAGACAAGTTTGAGAGTTGAGAGAGAACTAAAAATTAATTTTTTTAAAAAAGAGTAAAATACATTAATACGGGTATGATGTAGTAAAAACTCTAAGTTCAGGTATTTTTATTAAAGACAATTTTTATAATGCTTTAAACCCTCTGTCAATGAGTCAGTTCCAACTCACAGCGACCCTGTACGGCAGAGGAGAACAGCCTCACAGGGTTTCCAAGGCTGTATAAGTATTCATGGAAGCAGACTGCCTCAACGTGGCACAGGGCCGGACAACATTTTGTTCTGTGTCCCAGAGTTGATTCAATGGCAGGTAACAACAATAAAAGAATTGCTACCACTTGAACATCTATACTATTTATCAATACATAACAATACTTCCCGCAGTTTTAAATACAGATATCTGAAACTTAAATAAGTGTTAGCTAGTTAGAGGCGGAGGATGGGCTAGAACCAGGCCTTGTGACATCGAAGTCAGATTTTGATCATTGTATCACACTAAAAATGATATATTAAAGTAAACTACGGCAATATATACGTATACTACACACACAGATAAGAAAATTTCAATTTGGTATAATGGAGAAAACCATATATCCATACACATGTCCTTTTTGCACTAACAGTAGCCGTAGCAAATACAGAAGGTTACTTAGAGAAGTATGGTGTTGCTGTGTGCCATCAAGTGGAAAAAGGAGAAGAGGGGAAAATTAGGTGTAAGTATTTTTCAATGGGAAGAGAGTTATCTGAACATACAACAAGTACACAGGCTGTGGCCAATCATGTGTTGAATTCCAAAACAGAACTTATTAGGAAAAGTTTGTTTGACGTCTGTTTAGTCAGAATGAACTCCTACTAAGACTGCCTATAAATAAATGAAAAATCAAATCAATTAAAGGTACATTCATATTCTCCCAGAACTTGACTCATCTACAGTAAATTTATATACCTCATTTTTATAGATGATAAAGATGATACAACTTTTTTCCATCTACTGCACTAAAATGCCTATACCTAACCAAATGGGCAAATCTATCTATATCGAAAACCCTGATGTGAAAAGAAAATGGGCAACAAATGAAAATGGGAAAAGCCTATTTTAAACAAAATTGTTATGTCTGACACTGTAGGTACACTCAACACGTAACTGGACAACAAATCAAAATGAAATAAAACAATGAATTGAGAATGTTTGTTGTTGTTGTTGTTGTTATGTGCCGTCGAGTCAAAACCCGACTCATAGCGACCCCTCCTTGGGTTTCTGAGGCAGTATCACTATGGAAGTAGGATTGCCCAACCTTCCTTCCGAGGAGTGGCTGGTGGGTTTGAACCGCCAGCCGTCTGGTTAGCAGGCAAGTGTCTTAGCCACTATGCTACCAGAGCTCCCTGAGAATGTTTAGGGGTCCACTATTGGCACAGAAAAGCCCTCCAACTCTCCTCCCACAAGTAAACAAATGCTGCCCATAAGCAAAATTTTTATTAGCATCAGTATCGACTAGGTATACCGCGATAGGCAGATGATACAATCTTGCTTGTTGAAAGTGAAGATGACTTGAAGCACTTACTGATGAAGATTAAAGACTTCAGAATGGATTATACCTCAAGTTAAACAAAAATCCTCACCACTGGACCATAAGATGATAAAGAGAAAAAAGACTAAAAATTGTAAAAGATTCCATTTTACTTGAATCCACAATCAATGCCCATAAAAACAGCAGTCAAGAAATCAAATGCCATACTATATTGGGCAAATCTGCTAGAAAAGACCCTGGAAAAGCAAAGATGTCTCTATACCCTGTTTGGTATGGAGGACAGAAAAGAATACAGAATATGCCTCCCTCCTCCAAGTCCTTTCTCACCTAATGACTCTTTTACAATGACAAAGTTAAACATATTAAAAATGTTCAAATGACAGCTAACAAATGAAAGAACTGTTTAAAATTTATTTAAAAAAAAAAAGTCACCACATAAATTTGAAATATGTAACATTCACCTCTAGTGTTATACTAAATATCTGCTTTCATTATACTTAGTGATAGAGTACACAAGAAATAATTCATTTATTTTTAAATTAAACTATATGCATACGGCATTTGGCTTTACAAAGAGTCTAATATATTTGAGTAATTTTAGTTTTTACATTAAAAACATTAAAATTAATTGAATAATGTCATCTTATGTAAAGGAATGAAAACTGTGGGAAATAAAAAATATATTACCTGCAGTAATCTCCTTGCTTAGCGACCTTGGCCAGGGAGAATATGCAGTCAACAGTTGCTAGGTGATGAACCGCTTTACACAAGGAGTAATAATGCTCATTGAAATTCCTACAGAAGTAACATCAACAAAATAGGTGAGCAAACTGATTTTTTAGACCTATAAAGCTACAAAACAATAATCATTTTATTAGATAATATAATACATAAACAAAATAATTAGGCATACCTAGCAGTTAAGGGGGATAGAAATTACATTGAACTTTCTTTTAAATATAATAACTTGATACTGATGCTTCTTTCTGTTTTGTTTGGCATAGAATTATATATATTTAAAACAGCTTCTATACAAAGATATCTACTATTATCACCATATTACGTCCACATTTCATCTCAGTATATCATTTCAATTTAGATATAATTAATACCAATGGAGCAATAATATTAATTTAACATAAATAACATCATGATTTACTCAGATGAGTCAGCTACCTTCTGCTTCTTCATGGCATTATCTATACCTGGAATAACATTACAATATCTCTCTCTTCCAATGAACCAAAAACTTCTCAACGGTACAGTCTAAGTCTGTCTGATTTACCTATCATTGTAGCCCTGGCATCTAGCCCCAAACCTTGGCATAGGGTTGACCTTGTAATAAATATTTGTTGAATACAAACAAGGGGAAAAAAAAGCATTCTTTCTACTTTTATTATCTTATTAATACGATATACAAAAATTAAATTTTCAATTTGCTTTAAAAAATCGTGATCATCGCCTACGATTTTTGGCTAATTAAAACTGTAATATTTATGATCTAAAGACTTAAAAAACTCCTTTATTTAAAAGATAACCAGGAAAAGTATAGAAATGCATACAAATGTTTTTTCTTTTCTCTTTCTCATGATTTTCTTGCAAAAGTTATCCCATTACTTTGTATCATGATATTTTATCTCAATGTACACAATATTGTATAAATTAGGGACAACTGTACATAGTGATCAACTGTAGATGTTTGAAATGTATATAATTACGCTATAGAAAGGATATAAAATTTAATTCTAAAAAAATTCCCAGTATTAAATATCTAGAGAAAATATGTAACAGCTGAAATCCTTGCAGTAATTACTCTGTTTCCAAGATGGTTTGTTTAATTCCATTTTTAAACTTTTTAAAATAAAAAAGGTAGGTGGTAATTATATTTATAAATTCTTCAAAGGCTGGAAAATGAAAAAATATAATTACAACTAAATTACCTGTAAATAGGTCCAAAAGGAAAGCTGAAGGGGAAACTAATATTTACTAAACAAAGACTATGAAAAAGGCACCTATATTATTTCTTTCCAATAATCTTCAAGGTAGGTCTTACCTTAGTTTTAAAAATGAAATTTAGGGAGATTAAGCAATTAGCCTGAAGTCACACACTATTAAAGAGCAAAGCCTGGATTCAAACTATGCTCTTTATGTCAATCTGCCTCATATTGCAACTGTATCACACTGCATGTAAAAACCATTGCCATCACTGAGTCCATGTGTCAATTCTTTGGTCTTCCTTATTCATCGTCCAGCTCTCACATGCATGTGAGGCTACTAAAAATACCATGGCTTGGGTCAGGGGTAGCTCACCTTGTTCTTCAAAGTGACATTTTTGCTCTTTAACACTTTAAAGAAATCTTTTGCAGGAGTCTATGAAATTGCAATGTGAGGCAGATGATGGTGCCGTGGTTAAAGCACTAGGCTGCTAACCAAAAGGTTAAAACCCACCAGCCGCTCTGCAGGAGAAAGATGTGGCAGTCTGCTTCCATAAAGATTTACAGCCTTGGAAACACTATGGGGCAGTGCTACTCTGTCCTATAGGGTTGCTATGAGTTGGAATCAACTTGATGGCAGAGGGTCATATGCATGTGGGAGCTAGACAATGAATAAGGAAAACTTTAGAAAAACTGATGCACTTGAACTGTGGTGTTGGAAAAGAATACTGAATGTACCATGGACTGCTAGAATGAACAAATCTGTCTTAGAGGAACTATAGTTGGAATGCTTATTAGAAGCAAGGCAGCCAGACTTCGTCTCCCATACTTGTATCATATTGTCAGAAGGGACTTGTCCCTGGAGAAGGATATCATGCTTGGTAAAGCAGAGGATCAATGAAAAAGGAGAAGACTCTCAATGAGATGGACTAACATAGTGGCTGCGATGACAGATTCAAGCATGACAATGACAGTGAGGATGGAGCAGGACTAAGCAGTGTTTTTTTTCTATGAGTTGGAGCTGACTCAATGGTACCATACATTGGGTAGCTACGAGTTGGAGCTAACTCAGTGGCACCTAATAACAACACTGCATTTTGCCTCATTTCTGTCCATACGCAGAAATAGATAACTTTCTTGTTTTCTGCATAAAATCATCTTATAGCTCAGGCACCCTTTATGTCCTTTTAAAGAAGATCAAATAAAGAAACCATGCAGGTGAGAAGACAATGGAATGGTATATATAAAAGAGAAAAATTTCCAACCAAGAATTATGTACCCAACAAAACTGTCCCTCAAATATGATGGTGAAATTAGGACATTTCCAGATAAGCAGAAATTAAGGGAATTTGTTAAAAGCAGACAACCTTACAAGAGATGATA